TTTAGAAACCTTTACAATAACTTCTTTCTATTACAAAAAAAAATCTTTTACTAATATTATACAAACCTTTATATTTTATGATTTCTTTCAATCTATAAATCAATATAATACTCTTGAATAATAATTCAATATTATTTTAAAACTAACAAAAAATACTAAGGATTTTATAAAAGAAATACAAAATAAAATCAAGGAAACAAAACTTTACAAAGTTATAAACCTCTTCAAAATTGTATATTTCGTCAAAAACAATGATATTATTCAAATAATCGAATAACATTGTAATAGAATCAAGAAAAGTTTCAAATATCTAAAGAAAATCTGAACGATTTTTAAAGAAAAAGAACTTATAAGATTATAATTCTAAAATAAAAAGTTAAAAAGAAATATTATAAAAACTGATATAACTTTCTATATTATATAATTTAATCTTCAAATCCTTATCAAGTTTTTAAATAGATTTATAATTTAAAAGTTTATCAAAAAAAAAAATCATAATTACAAAAAGTATATTTCAATAGAATTCTATAATATATTGTGAGAAAGTTGGAATTATAGATCAAATACATAAAGGTTTTAGCTAGTCAATCATATGACCTTCTGTAGTTAGATATAAAAGAAGAGCCTTTTGTCTCTTCTTTTCACAATAATCAATCTTCTATATATATATATTTGAACCTATATAGCATCAATCCCAAAACCATTATGAACTCTGTTTTACCCATAAGTGATGTATTACAATGTAATCTAATTCAGCTTTCTCTTCCAATTCCCTTTTCACAGCGTGCTATCGGGATGTATGTATCTCGATCTATCACTTTTATAATATATATTTTCATTACAAATTTAAATCCAAAAACAAAAAAGAATTGGAAACCTTTATCTTTCAATTTCGAAAAAGATTTAATTTTTAAAAAGTACCAATTTATTATTGATAAATTCAGATTTCTAAAAGAATACAAATTTAATGAAACTCTTTTTACTTTATTTCAAGAATCTATATCTAAAAACTTCAAAAAAATTAATGAAATTAGAATCGAAAAGGTTGATAATAAAGAATCAAAAACAGATTTAGATATTGAAAAGAAATTAAAAACTATTGATATTCTTAATTCTTTGTAAACTCTTCATCTTTTTTATAAATAAATTATTATATTAATTTCTAAATCTATTATTACAAATATTGATAAATAGATAAAACAAAATTATATATTCAATCTTTCAAAAAAAACCCTTTTTCATTTTTCCATTCTAAATAAATTCATTTCTTATTATCGAAAAGTTGATTTTATTCTAAAAATAATTTCAGATAATAATAATAATATATTCAAAGAACTTTTTAGGATTATTCTAAATTCTTTTTGAGAATTGAAAAATTGTAATTATAAATCTGGTTTTTAATTCGAAAATAAATAATATATATTAATTAATGAAAATTATATTGTTGATTAAATAGAATAAATAATTATTATATTTTTTGATAAAAACATTATTGAAAAAGTTTTCTATATATATTATTTATACATTTTGATCAGATTATTTGATATAAAAATCAAATATATTTCTATCAAAGAATTTTGGAATTGATTAATTACAATAACCTACAATCAAAACTATATTAATAAAATAAGATTAATTGTCCAATTTTATTCCTGATTCTATCCTTATATACAATTAATTATTGAACAAATTAAACAAACTCGAAAATCTTATCATTTCGATTCAAAACCAAATATATATTCTTTTTATATAATTCCAGAATTTAAAATTAAATTTGTTAAAAAAAAATCTATTTTCGAAATACTCTTCTGAAAACAAACTTTTATAGAAATTCCTAAATTTGTTTTTTTTTTACAATATAAAGACTTTCTAGATCTTAAAATTAATCTTAAAGATATTCTTATTATTTACAAATAGAATTTTTATAATAAATTTAAAGAAAATCTGTTTTCAAATTATTATTACTTTTTAACCCAAATATTTTTGAAGAATAATATTGTTTTATAACAAATTGTTATATTTTTATATATTAATAAAAAGTTTCGTTTTGTTTCTATTCCTTTTTTTGTTCTTTGATTTCCAAATTATAATTGAAAAACAATTTTGTATTATTCTTTTATTGATTTTATAGAATTGATATTCAAATATCGAAATATGAAGCTGTTTTCAAAAACTATTATTTTAATAAACCTTCCCAAATTTGATAAAGTATTAATTAAAGTATATCAAGAATATTAGATATTAATATTAATCAATTCTAATAAAGGTTTTTGTTTAATCAAAAAGCTCCTTAAAAAGTATTCATTCTCTTATCAATTCTAATACAATTTAGATTGATTTATACAAAGAAAGGTTTTTCAATAAACAAAAAAAGATAATAAATTTCATTAATAAATATTAATCAAAAAAGACTTCTATATAATCATTTTATTATTTAATATAATTCTTTGATTTATTGATATTACTAAGAATTATAATTCGATTATAATACTAATCATTTATTTTATTATAAATACTAATAATAATAAAATAAAAGATAATATCTCTCAAAAAAATCTCCTTCAATCACTTCAAAATCAAATTGTCCTTTTCATCCTTTAGAAACTCAATAAAAAAGGATTTTATATACCAAAATTATTTCCTTTTGATATAAAAATATTATCTTTTTTAATTTTTGTTTCACAAATTTTTCTAAAAAAAGTCTTTTAGAATTCGAAATCGATAATAAATAAAGTTTATATATTATTCAATTATAAACCTAAAGACTTTATAAATATATATATAAAACTTTTTGAATATAAACTTAAAGAAATACAAACGATTTTCGAAATCTTAAAATAGGAAAAGAAATCCTAGAAAGCATATTCTCTTTTTATACAAAACCCAACTTATAAACAAAGATAAATTATCCTCAAAATTAAAAATTTGATAATATCTAAATTTATTGATAAAATCTTAGAAAAAAAATAGGAGATTATTAATTTAGAAGCTTTTATTTAAGAAGAAAAAACTTCTCTATCTACTCTTTAGAAATTATCTTGAAAAGGAAAGGAACCTACTTATCATATTGAATCTGAACTGGAAGATCTCCTCTCAATCCCTAAAATATAATCAAAACAAAAAAGAACTCTATAACAAGAAAAGTCTATTATTGATCTTTTTAATATACAAAGATTATTTCCTCCTCTTATTCAAAAACAACAAAGTCCAACTCCCCCTACACCATTTTCAAAATCAAGAAAAAAACTATCTTTGCCTTCCCGAATCTCCAAATATCTCCATTTAGAATCCAACAAACCTTTTCTTTTTTTGAATACATTTTCAAAACTAAAATCCAAACATTCGAAAACTAATAAAAATACTAATAAAAACAAAACTCCTATCAAACCATCTACTAAAGAATAAAAGATTATCTCCAAATTCAACAAATCTCCTTTTTATTATTCAATTTTTATATCCATTCTAAAAAGTTATTAATAACAATATTTTGTATATTCTATATTCTAATCAATTATTTTCTTTAATAAACAAAAAAGGATATATATTTCTTAAAAAAAAAGAATATAAGAAAATTAGAATTATAAACCAAATATATAAAGATTTTAATTAATCAATTATATAATCTTTTATAATTAAATATAAAAAAAAAACTTTTTGCCTTTTCTTTTCACAATAATTAATCTTTTACATATATATATTTAAATCTATATAATACCAATTCCAAAACCATTGTGAACCCTGTTTTCTTTATAAATAATATATTACAATATAATCTAATTCAGTTTTCTCTTTCAATTCCCTCCTCACAGTATACTATCGGGACACATGTATCTCGACCTACCACTTTTACAATATGAATCGTTGATATCAATAATATTATTATAATCTAAACCGTGAATCGTGACACTTTATAATAAAAACATAAAATTTAATTAAGATTTTAAATTATTTATAATATTTTATAATAATATTAATAATTGAATTTTTTTAATTGTAATTTATATAATATATATAATAAACTTTGAAAATTTAAAAATCTTGAATAATTTTTTTTATAAAAATTATTAAAAAATAATTATTATAGATTCAACTTGTTCTGATTAATCTATATAAATATATACAACTTTCTCATCTTATATAATCTATACTTTTTTTAATATCTTCTTTCTCTCTTTTTAAAATATTATTATATTAATTCAAAGCCTATCTATCATTATAATAATATTTCTTTTTTAAAATATTTAAATTATAATCAGTTGAATAAATAAATTAATTCCAAATGATTATTTATAATTAATAATATTTTTATATATATAAAAAACTCTCAATTTCAATATTTATTTATTTATTTAATAAAAATAAAATGTAAATTTTTATAGTTTTCAATATTAGTTAATATTTATATAAAGAATATATAATTAAAATATCAATAAAGTTATTAATAAATTCAAATTATAATCTTTAATAATATCAAATATTAAAATAATTTTCATTCAAGTAAACCTTTTGAAAGATTTATTATTCATTAATAAACTATAAATTGATACGAAAATAATATTATAAATATACTGTTCCTTGTATTCAATCAACACAAACTTAAAACTATAATGAATTATTATCAAATTTTCATGTGTGAAAAAGGACTACTACGGTTTGAATCTCTCAACATACAAACTTCTTCACATTCTATCCTACCGTAAACGCCGCGCTTCTATCTATGGTCAATGACTAATGCCAGCCGCTTTGGGATTCGACTGTACCTGTACTGTCATGATAAAGGACTTGAGTATTTAATTATCCAGCATTTCCACTGTCCATAGAATTCCTTATATCCTTTTCATAGAAATCTTTCAACGACTTATTTTTCTACATTGAGAAGCAAAATATCAAGAGTTCAAAACACAAAGGTACCAAATCACCTTGAACCAACACATATTAGCTCCTTAATCTCTCATTTTATTTTTCAATTAGAAGTCAAAGATTGAGAACAATACAACAAAATGCCTTCTCTAGAAGATATCTATGGCGCAAGAGGAACAAGGCAATCAGACTCTGGCCTTTACACTATCACAAACACCCCCTGGATAGCCCAATACACACAAGAAAAAGCCATCACCTTCTCAAGGTAAGTCTAACAAGCCCGTCACTACCTCGTTTAATTTCACTAACCCTCCCCAGAGAAGATTACTCCAACCTTGTAACCGTAACCATCGGTCCTCCCTCTAAACCTATCCAACTAACCTGGCCCCTCAAAATATTCTGTCTCAACTCCCTCTTTTTCCGAAGCATATTCCTTCCTCCGATCCCTGTGACTCCCGACACCACACCAACTTACATCCGCGTACTGCGGGATAGATTCCACCAAACATCTAATATTCCATTTCCCTGCACTTCCACCGCACACATCGAAGCATTTTCCATTTTTGCATCCTGGAATACTCAGGGGGAAATAAAGCATGCGAAACAATTTTCTGGTATCACTAGCGAAGATGTGCATCAGCGACTTAATCAGTATAGTATTCTTTGGAATCAACTATTAGAATGTTATAGACTTTCTCAATTGCTTATCGCGCCCAAGTTTGCGAATAAGATTATTGATACGATGATTGAGGCGATTGGAGAGGAATGTTCGTGGCAGACTCGACGTAGGAAATTAGAAGATGAAGATGAACAGTTTGCGATTGATAGTCTGGGAAGCGAGGAATATCAAGCATTGGCAAAACGATTAGATGAGGTTAGTTTGGTGACAGGCGATGATGTATTCAATCAAACTCAAAGCAGAGCAGAAACTTTAAATCAACGACCTTCCACTAGTCTTCAGCCTCCAGATTCGCGTCACGTTTTAGGAGCCACGCCATTACAAATCACCAAACTATACGCAGATACAAACCCCGGTGCACCATTACGTCGGATGATTGTCGATATGATAATTTCCTACTCAATCCGCTTCCCAAAATACTACGGACAAAATGGCGGCTTCGGAGAACTACTCGGTGGTTCTGATCCCGGCACCGCGGATCAATTTTGTGTACCGATGGAATTTGTCCGAGATTTATTAACTGCGTATGCGAAAGCCAACGGGGTGAAAAATGATAGGCGGATGGATGAAAATGGTTGTAAATATCATGATCATAAATATGGCGGGACGGCTGCTTGTAGCAGGGCTCGTGCAAGGGCGAATGATAATGCGACTTCTATTGCTGAGGCGGCTGTTAATGCTCTTGAGGATACGGGGAAGCCTGATGTTGTTACGGAGAATTTTTAGGCATGGATCGTTTGAATATTGTAGGAAATGGTGTGATTATGATTACTCAAAGCTTAAGGTGGTAGGCTTTGAGAATTCCTACTAGGGAAAGATTAGTTGGTCGAATAATTACAAAAAATAATATCTATTCTTATAATTGTCATTTTTAAAATTTATTTATAAAGTTTCTATTTCAACTTTTAAAATTTTTTATTAATTTATTAAAAAGTTATTAATAAATAAAAATAATTTCAAATATTATCAAAGACTAAAATTAATGATTTTTGAATATTAAAAATAATTTTAAATATTATAATTTAAAAAATTATATAAATTGATTATTTTAATTAATCTTTATATAATTAACAATTAAAACTTATTTATATATTTATAATTAATATATATAATCTTTTTAAGTTATTTATTTTGAAATAATTATAGATTCCAAAAGCGATTAAATTCTGACTTTTCATTGATTTATAATAATTATATTATATATAAATAAAAAAGTTGATTTATTATTTTTTAATTAATAATAATCTCAGTTTTGTTTCTTATTAATTTATATATTCATCTTCTTTAAAATTTCTCAAATACACTTTCAATCTTAATTCTTTTACTTTTATATTCATATTTAATATATTTACATCCAATCCCAAATACAAAACTCAAACAACAAAGCCAAGTACTATATAACACAGCCCATATACAAACCTAAACAATACAAAAATTTCGCCTCCCCCAAACCCAAAGCCATCAATATCCATACCCCCAAACTCCCTCAATTCAATGGAGTACCCATTATAAAATATCCAAACCCCCCTTCCCCCAACAGACCGCCCAGCATCCATCAATACAGATACTACAATGAACAGCAATTAGAATCACAGCACTTCGCTTCGCTTAAATATTTCCCCGTTCCGTCTGGCGTGGCGTCCACATGCACATGCACATACATATTTATCCCTACCAACTTGGATGTTACACTACCTCCTTACCACTTTCACAGCACATATCCATCCATATACACGGTAACACACCTAATCGAATAGCAATCCAATATACTGTATACAGCATCTGCGTCGCATACACGTGCAACAACTCATGCGCATACATATCCACACATACATACCTACCAAACTTCAACGTTACACTGCTTTCACTTTTACTTTTACAGCACATCCCATCCCATCCCACACACTCCACCCATCCACCCATCTCATACCGTTCCCCTTCCTCTTTCCCCACTACACACCGTACCTTTTTCTTTCCTCCCCCTCAAATACACACACACACACACACACACACACACACACAACACACACAACACACACAACACACACAACACACACAACACACACAACACACACACATACATCACACGATACCAGGTCCACCAAATCAGAAGATGAAAAATTTAACCTTATAACCTTATAACCTTATAACCTTATAACCTTACAACCTGATAACATGACATGATAAAATACAATATGATATGACACACTAATAAACTTCCAGAGAAAATATTTTCCAAAATTTTTGTTGGTGAGATTGCGGTTGTTATTTTCTTTTCTTTTTTGTTTTTCTTGTGAGAATAAAAAGTTGAGAGGATAAAAGGTGGGGAAAGGAGGAAGGGGAATAGGAGTGAAGGAGGGAATAAAAGGGAGCGAGATAGAAGGAATTAGAAGAGAAAGAATAAATATGAAAAATCTTTGAATGGATCGAATGAATTTGGGTATTGGATTGTTTAGGTATATCTTATATATCTATCCAGTACCAGACGGTATAAAAAGAAAAGGAAAGAACTTATATCCTCTAGCACTCTGTGTATTGAAAGTTTTCTGTCTATAATGTATATTTCACTAAAACCATCATGTATGTATCCTGTAATCCTGTAATCCTGTATCTCTCTAGCCCCTTCCATCATCTGTCTGTGTGTATCTCTTTCTACTATTTCACGTTACCACCCCGCAGAAATTGTCCCTCAAAACCTCATGCTAACCACTCAGCCGCACTTTCCAAACACTCCGAAATAATTCCAATCCACTTCTCCGCATTCTCATAATCTTGTGCATCAATACTTTCAACCAAACCTGGGAAAACAGCCCCTGCATAACCAGTCCAAAGTCCCGGTGCATAAACCACATGTTTAAACCATGATCTACCATCTAATCCTTCCGGGTATAAGAACTTTCTCTCTAGATATTTGTATTTCTCATTGACTGTTCGAATCTTGTAGTAAAGTTTGACTTTAGATGCCCATTTCCACCATGGAAGATCTTGACCTGCTTGTTTGGCAAGGATTTCAGCAGAAGAATCATGACGAATCGCTGCGTGTTTAAGAGCAGTAGCACGATGGTGAAGGCGTTTGAAGGAAAGTTTCAAAGTATTGATGTCACCCTTTGTTTCGATATTACTTGGACGGAATCGAGCTTCTTCATCTTGTCCGTCAGAAGAAGATCCAATCATAATAGAATCTAACTTCGACTCGGTCTTGCTAATATAACCTTGTAATGCGTCGGCATAATCGGTAGCATTGAAAGAAATAATTGGAGTTTCGGCCATCTTGGCGGTGTATAGAGCCCAAATCTTTGACATGGCTTCATGATAACGAAATCCTGGATCCCCATATGTATCCATCCAATAGAACGAATCATAATTAGAGTGGTAATGGAAGACAGCTCCACCATTGCCTTCGTGGTTAACATCTGGTCCAAATCCAAGATCAATTGATGGAACTCCGGCAAAATCTTGAAAAGCTGTAAAATCACTACCACTACCCATAGTATGAATAGATCCATCCCAAACATCACCAACAGTTTGTCCTGGAACTGTTTGATTAGGTGACTGAACTAAGCTTAAGACTTCGTATAAAGCTTTGTTGTGAAGTGGACTTGCCGAAGCTCCAAAAGTAGGTCCACTAGTACCAACATCACAGTTGATGTAGGCCACATTAGCTTTATTCAACCATGGTAGATATTCCTCGACCCATTCAGTTGAACCAACCAAGCCATATTCTTCACCATCCCAACTTGCAAATACAATTGTACGCAATGGTTTCCATCCCTTTGAAACAGCGACACCAAAACTACGAACAACTTCATTGAGAGCTGCGGAACCGCTATTTGGATCACCAGCACCACCTACAATCCAAGCATCATGATGGTTTCCAATAATGATAACTTCATCCGGTAAGGTTCCATTGATTATACCAATCAAATTCCAAATAGGTGTGGTAACATATTCGACATCGTTGACGAGGTTAAGTACGATATTGTCTGGCGAGGGACCAATGTTGTATTCTACTCCTTTGTATGCCAAGCCAAGGTTTCGATCCCACCATTTGTTTAAATCTTTCGGTCCAGGTCCAATGCCATTTAAGGCCTTAAGAATGGGTAAAGCATCGGCATAAGATATTGGAAGAGAAGGAATGGAGGGAATTTTACCATCCACAGGTTGACGTGGAGCCCCAGGTTTTGAAGGATATCCTATGGTGGTTCTACAAGATAGTTAGGTTGCTGTCATATATTGCAAGAAGGTATGACTTACGGATCTCCAGGTGCAATACTAAGGAATTGAGCACTTCCTCTTTGGACACTACTTGGATTTCTGGCTGGTCCTTCTGGGTACGTAGTAACTCCATTCTCTTCAGTATTCGCTCCATCATCACCAGGGTCAGTGAAAAGAACAGCTCCAACCATTCCCAGTTCTTGTGCGCGTTTGATCTTGAGACCGCGAAAGACGCCGCCATATCTTGCAATAGCGATCTTACCTTCCAAACTGACGTTGAGCCTTATTAAATCTTCAAAGTCTCCGTAGGTACCATAATTGACGTAAACGTATGGTGCGGTGACATTTCCATATGCGGAATATCCATGGAAGGTTGGAATTCTGCTGTCCAATCCACTGGTATCGTCCTCTTCAAGTACATCTTCCTCCAAACTAGCTTCAAATTTGACTTTCAATTCCTCAACATCAGAACCCTTGGTGTTTTTCTTTTCATATAAAGCAAGTCGATGACCACGAGGATAATTGAGATAAACATCATAGGAAATGACTTCAGATTCAATGCCAAATTCCTGCCATCTTTCCTGGGTCCAAAGAACCTGACTCTTATTTGTTCCAGCTACATGAGGTCCAGATGTATAATATTTACTCCATTCTCTTGCCTTTTCGGCCTTTGGAGTGTCGAGTAATATTTGTTGAAGTTCTTCGTACGTGATGGAAGCAGATGATTCTTGATAAGGTTCATCGTGGTGCCAATGCCTATGATGTCGAGGAATGAAGGAAAGGGGTAGTAAGAATAGGAAAACGGCGACGATTAAACAACAAGTTGCTGCGATGGTGACGAATCGACGAATGGTATTATGTTGATATCTTTGTCGCGGTGGAGCAACAACGAGCGTCGCGATTAATGGGGTATGCTCATTGCTCTCCATGGCCTTTTCATCTATGAGTCTACCCATGGTGAAGGTTAGTGAGAGTTACAGGTAGTGAAAAAAGTGGAAGAAAGGAATCATTAAGATCTGAAGGTTGACGGGGTTATGCTGACGTTAATGTAAGGTCCTATTGCGTTATTCAATGACCACAAAGCTCACGGTCCACATCTATACCATATGCAGAGGCTATATTCACTTCCTGTAGGCTAATTCAAGAGCTTCCTGATATGTGCTGAAAGCTTGTGGAACGGGAGCTGATAAGCATTAAAAGCGGAGAGAGCTGCATCCGAAGATAAACCTATCAGACGGGAATGGAAGGGAAGGATGCAGCTTGATCTCGTTGTTTGACTGTTATCCAAAAAGTGGGACATTGAAAGCAGGGGGAATTGTTTAAACGGAAGACATATATTCACGCCTTCCAATAAGGCGATGATGAAGTATGAAGGAAGTAAGATCTTACCTCCCTAGATGGGTACATTGATACATTTGTTATGTGCAGTAAAAAGCTTGGAATTTGCATGCATCAGAACTTTGGTCCAAGTGATGAACGCCATGGCGTAAGGAAGGCTGACAAATCAACCACACCTTCTTGTTGCCACCAAGCCTAATTAGGTAATCTGACTCAACCGCTTGTGGGACAAAAGATGGGGGTGGAAATACATTGCTCACGTGACTACCGTCAAGCGATAATCGGCCGGGAATCCTTGAAATTTAATCCAATCAAATGGCACAAATCTTTACCATTTCCGCATTGACCAATGAATGCTTGTTAAATGTACCCCATTTCATGCATTTGTACATATCTGTATCCATTGAGCATGGTATATGGATTAAAAACGCATTCGATCCATTCAATATGCAGATTTAGTCCAGAAAACTCAACGGGAAACGGAAAAGCGCCACTTGACAAATCGGTGAAGCTGCAGCAGTTGATCGATCATTTGCCCCACTTGATTCTTGAGTTGATACTTTTTCCCTCGCTCAAAGCAAATCAAAGCAGCAGCCTTTCCTTACAAATATTGTTTATATACCTCCGTTCTCCTTCCTACTACCTCATCCCTCCTACTACCTCGTAGATCCTTCGAATTCGATATCTCTCTCACTCTTTTACATCCTCACTTCCACGGTCTTGTGGTTTTCCATGCTTGCTTCGGAAAGAGATCGTAGTTCCGATTTTCAATTCTGGGAGGCTGAGAAAGTTTTCTTACCGCCATCAATATGGTTAAGGGAAAGAAATTCGGTCCAGCAAAATTACCGGTGGCCCAACTTACAATTCTTGGTAAGCCTTCTGTTTAACTTGTTATGTTTACAAACGTCCGGCAGATCTTCAAATCGTTGAAAGTTTCTTCGTATTCGTTGTGATGAGATGAGGGAATGGGTACTTATTTCGGGAGGCCCGGTTGATGCAATTGCAAAACTCCCCGCCTATAATGTAACGACACAACCCGAAAGTTCCTCTCCTAGTGAAGATCATCCACATCATTTACATAGTTTTACGTCCATTTTGAGAAGAATTAAAATGAATACCCATTCATCTCTACACACGCTTCCTGTTCCTCCTTCATGCGAATGTGATTGGAATAGATTTGGAGCATTTGATGGGAATTTGCATTTAGTTGTGATTCTTTTCAGCCCCGGCTTGCTCAGCCGGATTATTCTTCCGCTTCCATCATCATCACTATTTTGTAGATCGTTCATTCAGCAATGCAATTGGCAGCACTGGACTCGAAAGATCACGAGTTCATTCAACCCTTTTCCTCTATACTAATTTCTTTTAGCAATATGTAGATTCGCAGAACCAGTTGCCTTGACTTCAGTATTTCCATATCTAGTAAGTCTCTTAAATCTCTTAAATCTTCATCCGCCATCATGTGACTAACCATCGACAGCCTGAGATGATCGAAAGTTTTGGTGTAGAGGAGAAAGATGTAGCAAAATGGGCGGGTATAACGTCTGCGGTGTTTTCACTAGCTCAATGTATAACAGCCATATTCTGGGGAAGAGCTTCCGACACATTTGGTCGGAAACCTACAATTTTGGCGGGTTTGACATGCACAATGATACTGAATATCGTATGGGGTATGTCAGTGAGTTTACCTATGGCTATCATTGCTAGAGCACTTCAAGGAGCTTTTAATGGAAATGGTATGTTTCAGTGTTGAACATGGACTTCGAATAAAAGCTAATAGTAGATAGTGGGGATTATCCGAACAATGGTAGCAGAAATGGTTCCTCAAAAGGAACTACAACCAAGAGCTTTTTCCATCATGCCTTTGGTATGGAGTCTTGGTTCTATATTTGGTCCATCGTTCGGAGGGTTCTTTGCTCGACCGGCACAGAATTTTCCAAACCTTTTCGGGAACAACAGATACTTCTTAAATTTCCCTTTTGCATTACCAAATATCATTGCCAGTTTTCTTTTTATGATTGGAATTACAACTGGAATTTTGTTCCTCAGGGTATGTCCAATCAATTGATATCCCAAAATTCACTAACAGATCTAGGAAACTCTGGAATCGAAACGTAATAAGAGAGATTGGGGTCTAGAAATGGGGAAGAAGGTGATTAGCTCTTCCAAAGTGCTCTGCTGCCAACCTCGACCTAAGCACCACTCCCCTGGTCATCCAGCCTACGATGAATCATCTGCATCACTCCTCAGGCCTACATCTGCTTCTGAGTCAGATTCTACTGAAACCTTTGATGATAACTTCGAATCTCCAAAATCAAAATCACTCGCCCCTCCAAGTCTTCGAGAAGTATTTACACGTCAATCAGTCATTAATCTAGTTGCATATACATTTCTCGCTCTTCATTCCGTCTCCTATGATCAAATTCTCTCAGTTTTCATGCATCATCCTCGTCAAATTCACGATTCAACAAACACACAACTTCCTTTCAAATTCTCCGGTGGTTTTGGACTTCATTCTGGTAGAATCGGCACAATTTTCACTCTGTATGGTGTCGTAGGTGGCTTCATTCAATTTGTAATCTTTCCACCCGCGGCTCGCAAATTTGGGGTCCTAAATTGCTTCAAAGTATGCGCCATAACATTTCCCATCATCTGCTTCGTCACTCCTTATACCGCCCTCATCGAATCATCAATCTGGCAACAAATCATGATTTTTGCCATCCTAATTGTCAAATCATTCGCAGTCATCTTCGCGTTCCCATGTTGTATCATCCTTCTCACCAATTCTGCAATTAGTCTCCGTATCCTGGGTACATTGAATGGCTTCGCAGTTTCCATCTCGGCAGTCGGTAGAGCTATTGGACCTGCTATGTCAGGAGCAGCTTTTACATGGGGATTAAAAGAAGGATACGTCGTCACTCCTTACTTTTTACTAGGCACAATTGCGGCTATCGGCGCAATTCCTATTTGGTATCTAGAAGAAATGGAAGGATTTAATAAAAGTGGTACAAGCGATGATGAAGCAGAAGAAGAATCATTACTTCAAGCCAATGACGAAGAAACGGGATTACTGGCAAGTGATGAAAGAATTAGGCGAGATCCTAATGAAGAAGCACCAGGTGTTGTGGAGGGTGCACCACTCTCAAAATCTATCAGTATCTCTGCGAGTAAGAGGAGAGAAAGTAGATTGGAGGAGAATATGAGTAGTCCTATTGGAATGATAGGTGGCAGTGTTGGACCTGGAGGAGGAAGAAGATTAAGTAATGGACTTGCGGTTAGTAACTTTGGGCAGGGAACTGGTGGGACGAGTTTTACTTGATGAGGCGTGGATTGTAAAGATGAGTTTATGATTGGGGATGATATATCATATGAATATATATGCGTGTATTAGTGGATGGGTTTATGATGTTATGCATTTGATGTTTTATTTTGGAATTGGAATTGGAATTGGAATGGAATGGAATGGAATGGAATGGAATTTGACGTTGGAACTTATAATGATTATGATTATACTGAGATGAGATGAGATGAGATGCGACAAGATGGACGAATAAAAGAACGCCTGGTAATAATACACGGATGGATATATAAGAACACCAAGTTAACTCAACTCCACTAGAATATTCTATAGAATCAATAAAACATCAATTATTTTTTTTTTTTATAAACAAATATTTAAATACCTATCAAATAATTAAATAAATTCATAAAATTTTCTCTCTTTTAATCATATTATTAGATTATCCAAATTACTCATTCGATTTATTAAATAAGGTTAAATTTAAAATATTTTATAATTTATTCTAGGGTTGGATTAAGTAATAAGATTTGTTTTATGGATATGTTAAGGTTATATCATTCATTGTATGAGATGCTTGTGGGATTAACTTCTAATTAAGTATTGGAGTTTGTAAGATGATAAGTGGTGATGATGTTTTTATAGCTAGGTACCTACGTAATGCGTTCTTATAATATAAGATTATCACTCCTAGCAATCTCTCATACCCACATACCCAGATTACTATCTAACATCTAAACCTCATGATCGTCTCCACAATCCCTCCCCTGCACATGAACATGATATCTATACCTCCCCTCCTCCCAAACCTTAACCGCTTTTTCCGCTTTATGAAATTCCGTGCGGATTTTCTGAGGGTCGTAGTTGATGTTGATGTTATCATTTCCGGTTCGTCGCGTGATGCCCATTAGGAAGCGGGAGAGGCGGTGGGGACGGGGGTGAGGCGGCTGGGAGGGCTGGAGTGGTTGGAGGGGTTGAGGGGCGTGGGTTGGGAATGAGTTGTGATTGTGATTGTGGTGGTGAGGATGAGGATGAGGATGTGGGTTTGGAGGTTGCCAGAAGGTTGGGTGGGTTACTTGAGGTTGGGTTTGTGGTTGAATCGGGGTTTGATGATGAAGCTGGGACGGATCAAATGGTAAGTGATTTAGAACAGGCTGAGCCGTGACCGAATGGCCAGGTTGGGAACCCGAATTAATCGCAGTCCCATTATTGTAAAACTGGACATTCTGCGGCAATCTCTCCGGCTTCAATTCATCAGATAGATGTACTCTACCCCTCCTAATCCTGAACGGCATCCTCGAGCTCGAAGATCTCTCATCCACTGTCAAAGCTTTCCATAATTCCATCCTAGGCATCAAAATATCCTTAATTAAGCTCCTCAAAGGCGAATTCTCCGACGTATTCATGTCCACCAATTCCCACGTCTTTTCTACATCATCAAAAAGTGGTTGTCGTACAATCTTCCCAAATTCCGATTCACTCCATTCTTTATAAGCGAAGACTAGCGCATCGATAATATAATTTGCGAATTTGGGTGCACAGATATAATCAGCTAGGAAATAACAATGAAGGAGTTGAAACCAGCGTGATTTATGCGATTCTTTGCGGAAATACAAGTTGGACATTTCTTTTTGGGTGGGATGGATTTTGATCAGACATGAGGCATTTTTAATATCCTTAGTGTAGAGCCAGGAGAGGAAGATTTCGAAACTCTCAGGTGAGTGCTCGGAAAGCGTGATGGTACTTTCACGACCACAGTTCCATCTATCCCCGCAGAGAGGCTTGAAGAATGATGCTTGGGCCGATAAGATGGCAGCTGTTGCGGTGAATTTAACTTGTTTGTTTTCCCTTCCTACGTACACAGTGACGATTTTATTGTTGTCTTCTTGATTATAACTACATCTCTATTAGCAATTTCCCAACCATCTCACCACTTCAAAAACCGTAAAACCGTAAAAGAGAAAAAAGAAAAAAGATCTTACATATCAAAAATCCCCTCTCTCTTCGCCAAAATTTTTCCATCCCCACTTGGCTGCTTAGGTGCATCCCAAAGTTGCGTCTGCAAAACCCTAGCAAGGCTCAGTACACTTTGAAGCAAACGCCATCGATTAACTGTTCGATATTTAAGCTCTATTAGTTCTGTGATCTCGGCTATGGAGTCAGGCTCCATGCTTGCTGTTAGTTCTTTGATTTTTAAGAGGATGTCGGAAAGATCAGCTTGGTCAGCGGCGCTTTGGCCGTAGAGTTCGTTGAGGTATCCATTTGAGTCTGGGGGGGTGGTGGTCATTGTTAGTAGTTGGATGGGGGATAGATTGGTGGAGAAAAATTTATTTGGTGTTGGTGATGTTATTTTTCTTTTAGAAAAGATAGGGTTGGGAAATTTGTGAAATCTGTTGATGTGTTCAAGGATGGAGGTGGATGTGACATTGGTTGTAAAGAATTTGTCTCAACAAGCCATTGGAAGGATTAAATAGACATTCAAAATCATTCTTGTGAGTACGGTTGGAAGACAAATCCACCATACGGCTGGCTTGCATACAATACAGCCTGATTGCTGAATCCGAGCTACTGTACTTTGTGTTTATACTTCTGGACTATATACGGCTCAATCGCCAAATCAAGCGGCCGTACATTCGAAATAGATATTCATTATTCCAGACTCAAAGATCCAAATTCGGGACTAGTAGACCAGATTCTAACTTTTTTATGTCTTCAAAACTTCTAACGTTTGAGGGGCTGTAAAGCTACAAGAACAACTTGATTAGTTTACTTAATTGATTATTCATAACGATTTTAATCTCTCATGATATTTCAATCCTTCAATCACTTCCGCCATTCAAATAAACCCAGCAATATAAAATTCCTTATTGCTATTCTGTGATACGCACTATTTGATACAAGAACTCCAATTATGAGATCTAATGTGACATTACACAGTGATCTATTTAACTGATTCTAGTTTCTGGGAGGAAAGAGTAATTCTTGATGCGTCCATGTTTTCCCTCTCTATTATTTAACAAAAAAGTCACCATGTTTGCTTCCTCCATTCCATCCTCGATCTTAGCTCGCTCAGGTCCTGAAGTCCCATGTAATCATGCCATCTATAAGGTCCATTATGAATTAGTAATTGGATTAATTTTTTGAAGCGGATAGGGAGATATATTTGGCAAATGAACGGAAAGAATGAGATAGGAGAGTGTCAGAACGGACATAGAGGGTAATAGGCTTTGACAGTTGGAAAGCAGGGGCGCGAATGCCTTTTATCCTTCTAGATACCTTTTTTTGGGGGGGATAATTATTTTTTTTCTCTTGTTAAAATTATTTTCCACAGTCAATAGAGTATTAGTTATAGCCAAGAATCTAATTAGAGGATCCAACTGCTGGGGCTGAGCCCTTACATCGGAACTCATACACATTCACGGTTAACACTTTCGTTCATTTACCAATAATGCATTTTCTCTTAATAAATGGCGTTCTTGAATCACTTCACTTTCATTATATTAATCATACTTCGTATTTCGATGCTGATATAATAATTGCAGACATATATCTTCATAAGGCAGTCATTCCGCCTCATATATTCAAATCAGATAGCTTAAATATGACTTTTTAAACATGTCTGGGCTTGAATGGTATCCCAAAAAGTCCCTTCAAGTACAATTCTTATACTTCAAGATGCTCAATGAATTGGAATGGTATTTCTTTTTTTTTTTAATTTCTTTTTGAATTTTTGCGAAACATTGTCTCCCTTCAGATTACATAGATTTCTCCTAGATGAACTTAACCTGAAGGAGATAAAACATTAATGCTTAATACCATGCAATTTCTACAACAGCGGAGGAACAGTGCCGTGTTAACTGACCGGACCAGATAACTACCTTCAATATGGATTTGGCCGTGCGATATTTTAGCCAATATATACTGAATTAAATATGCCCAAATTTATTTTAGTCTCATTTTTTATTGGGCTTAATAATTTTTAATATTCCAGAAAATCGTTCCAAACGGACCAAAGTGGTGACGAGTGCAAAATTATCCCTTTCTATTTTATATTGATTACAATTCTGTGTATGACCATATTAAAAAGGCCGGACCACAATTAATTAATAAGACTTTGAATGCTCTTATATCAATTAACAGTCGCTTGTAGTATCTAGCCAGCTAACTAACCTTTTTATATGATGTTCTTTTATCGCACTTACAGAATAAATAGTCAATACTGATATCGTGAACAAGATTGAGTCTTTGTTAATTTTTGCGTAACAGTGACAAATTTAGTAGTCTCTGATTTCATCTGCTCAAAATTTGAGCCTAGAACCAGTATCTTGGGAGTTAGATGCATTAAATTCTTGTATTTTCATGTGGTGCTTAGACTGACTTCCATAATCCACCGGAAAGATTATGAATTTATCAACGACCTCTGCCCAATCCTCAAGTCACTTTTAATTCATTCATCCTGATCTCTCGACCCATAAGTAAACCGTGATACCAGAGATTCAAAATCCTAGACGGGCGGAAAGACCCCCAACAACAACTATAGTGAGATTACTGATAGTCTATTTGAATACCTAGAACAGTATCGTTGCAAATCCCTTGATCAACCAAAATTATCATTTTACCGCGTAACAATTAGTAGTACGTCCGGATTTGTCGAAATTATAAATCAGTAGACACTTATCTTGACGCTTCGTTAGATATTAGTCAAATTGTATCCAAACCGACTGTATCTTAAAGACAGGGAAGACTTCTTATCATGGCACTTACCACCAGGTTATTACGCCAACCAAAATGGCGATGATATAAATCAAGGATAAAAACTGATCCATAATCATGACATACACAGAAGCATCTTCTCCCGTCAATACCACTCCTCCAGTCATTGCGCTGATGTATTGTTCGTCTTTTATCTTCAACAGCGTCTTAAGTCGAGAAACTTCGTATTTGTGGTAAGCGAACACGAAGAGAGTTACCAGCACGGCGGTAAAAGACACAAGTCTGAAAAAGTGAATCTCATTGTCTTTCCGCTGTGCAGCTTCAATGTCAAGGAAAAAATCGTACGTGCTAGCATCGTGATCTGCAGTGCCTCTGTTGTCGGAAGTGGTGGGCCTTTTCTTTCGCAATTTAGGGCTGGCCATCTTTTGCTGTTTCAAAGATTCTTGCAATTTGGTTAGCAGAAGCTTCGTTTTTCTATCTACTTTTAAGAGTGTAAACTCTACAGCTAGCTCAACCGTATATGACGGCTTCCACAGCATGGTCCGTGCGGTTATTCCCCTAGCGACATCTAGATACGTCGCTTGTGTACTTTCAGCTGTTTCTAATTGTCGGCACAATAATGCAATACGGCAATGACAGCAAAATTCAAAATGTGTACGGCGAAGTGTAATTCTATACAATCGCTCTTATTCTTCATACAAATATAAATATAGTCCTTCAACCAATAGATATGCCAACATAGTTGTACTTAACAGCCTCCGAAGTACTATTAGCTTTACTCGATTGTGGAGAGTCCAACATACTCCTCTTTATCTCAGTTTTCAATACTCATTCGATTCTACAATTACTCTTAACACTTTCCATTTTATCTGATCGGAAGCTTTCAAGCTTGAGCCAAAGGTGATTGCGACATGCCTTCCAGTTTCAGCAATGATGTGGAGTCATGCGCGACAAAGGTATGTACGAACTTTCCGGAAACACACTAGAAATTTAGAAAATCAACTAAGGTTTTCCATAGGAGTTTGGGATAATGACTCGGACAAAAGCAGTCGATATCATAATAAATCGCACAAAGTCTCTCGAACGATTGTTAGTGCACAGAAATCCAGTTTCTTGGGAAGAAAGTCAGAAAGTGGGCATCGAAGATGAACTTGATAGGCCAGCAGTATTAAAAGCGGACTTTAGAAGACGTCAAATGATGGGAAAGCCTGAGTATGAATTTGAGGATATAGCCCTTAAGCATCGTCAGATCATCGCCATGGTGAATAGGGGGTTGAATAATCTTTTCCGCTATACTTTAGAGGCGAGATTACAGATTCTGAATGAGCATCGTGAGGAATTTCAGATGGATATAAAGACTATTGAGGAGTACTTATTTCTCTTGCAAAAATTAGAGCCAGTACAATGCAAAGGTTGGGCTCAAAAAATCAGGTACGTCAAACGTTACTTCCCCATAAGCGTAGGTAGCATTCGCTTTGGTCGAGTGCTGACTTATTCTACCCATTTAGTATTGCCTCTAAAATGATGAATGATTCCACTATCATGCGTACCAATATCGAGGCTCGTATCCAAGAGGTAGAAGATTTTCACTTAGATGCTACGACAGAAAAGCTCAACCGGGAAATCAGGGCACAGATGGTGATTGATCTTGGAGTAAGGCGGGGCACTTACGGGAACACGCTGGTGAGTTGTATTACCATTTACAGTGATTTAATGGACATATATAAGTTGTTGAATACCCTTTTAACCTTGTATTTATCACAGAGCCTCCGCGATCACGAGAAGCATCCACAGTTGAAGTATCGAGAGCTGATAAATGTTGAATCTATGCGGGAGCAAAGTAAAGAGGATAAGGGTGGTTTCTAGACAATCGCGACTGTAGTAGGATGCAAATATGATGATGTTAGGAAATGGGGCTCGAAGCACGATATGCATAACACATACAGTATCCGCCGGCATGAGGGTAGTGGGGGGTGTCACTCACTCGTTCATGTTCAAAGTCCTGCGAGACTTAGCTCCCCACTGCCGAGGGTATTTTTTATTTCTCAACTTCAATAATTGGTGTCATTCTAAAGACAAATACCTAAAAATAAGGTTGCATCTCTAATTTGTATTATATTTTAAGGCGGGGTTGGTTTGAAGTACGTTGATGCAGTAAAACTATAAGCGGAAGATTTCACAAGTAACATCAGAACTATGCCTGAATACCCTAATATACCATTTAATGCATGTAGTTTTATTCAATTCAGTGATTAACATATTGTTCATAATTAGGTTTGTACTCGGGAATTGAAAGCTCTTCAGAGCATCAGACTTCTGATTAAAGACAATGCATAAAGTCCAGCTCGGAATATTTACCTCTGCGCATCCTGACCATTCAGACTTTCAATAGATCGAATGATGCTTGCTGAATAGAAATGGTATAATATTTTAATACATTTCGTGTGTTCGGAATATCTGCCTTGTGAATCCACTCTTCATTTTGATCTCATGCGGTATCATGAAAATTATTTAGAACATTGTGTACATCCAAGTTTGAAGCTTAATGCAAGAATCATGTTTCCCCAATCTTCGATTATTCGACTTAACATAACATCGCGAACATATTTCAGACTCCGTATTATCAAAATAGAGCGCAAGAGTTGAGATAGATTCTAGGAAGATACTTGTGTTCCATTGTCTTCATTCCTATGGCAATGTAAACTATCTCCCAATGAACTACAGTACCAAAGAGATATACCAAAGAGTGTACCAAAGATATATTATTTTCGAATCAATTAGAACTTGCTCATACAATGTAAAAATCTTCTTAATCAAACAAGCAAAAGCCAAAGGCCAACTAGATTAAAATCCACTTCCACATACCAACATCAACATCAACCAAAGCTACAGCGTACATATTTCACCCTATTAATTCACCAGACTATTCATTTATTTATCCAACATATATTGGAAACATCAAGCGCACTGACGACACCCACTAGACGTACCACTGATCTGCTAGCCTCTTATTTTGCTACCTTGCAAGTTTAGAAGCATCTATCTCACATCAACACTTCGCACATTTCATTCTCATACGAAGATCAACCATGGAGATGACTAAAAAGATACCCATCCTCAGTCTCGTCGATGCTTATCGGAAGAAAGTCCTCCATGGAATCACCGAAATCAATACCCGACTGCATACTTTACCATCAGCAGCTTTTGTGATGTATCTTGACAATGTTCAAAAATCATTGAATTTTTGGCTTGAAGAGGTTAAAGTCCATATTGAACAACTCGGTTCTCTAGACAAAGCTGAAGACCTTGCGTATGTAACTGCCTATGATTTATGGCACAGCCCTAGATGGACACTGACACTTAGTTCCAGGGCTATGCGTGTTATTGAGCAAGATTTGATGCGCATTATTATTCGAGTCCAGAGTTTGCATGATAAACATCATCGATTGAGAACTACTACACAAATTCCAATACCTTCAGCACCAGAGGATTTGGAAATTCACGGTACCGATGAGCCGTTGCAACCTACAGCTATTGAAATTCAACACACTCAGGTTCCTTCGCCACTAAGGGAGAAGGTTGAAGAAAAGGCTAAAAAGCTCACCAGTGAAAGTGTTTCACAGCAACCACGGAAGAAGCTTCCTGGGGGTCCTCGGGTATCAATCCGCCAGGGAACAGGCAAAGTCAAGGCTTTGAGAGAGAAAATGGGGTTAAAATAAGATTTTGGTTACTTTGGGATAAAGTCTCTGTTCGTTTCTTGGGGTTTATAGATATGTAGATCTGAGGATGGACGTGTTCATTTATTTGGGTTTCCAGCAGTTTGGCAGTGGTATTTTACCGTACATAAAACTTTTGCCTTGTACCTGTTTCTGTCTCTGCTTCATGTCCAGGGAAGAATTTTTGCATACGATTGGATTTCAGTTTGAAAATGTTGGAGCGTAAACACACTTTGATGGCAGTCACCAATTCATTCCAATTGAAAATGAAAAATACTTCAGCTCACTTTTTATTAAGTCCTTAATACGTTAATTCTTGGACAGTTATTATTTAATTATTTTTCCTGTTGTTCTCTTTATGTTGCTTTTCGAAGCTCTTTGCTGTTTCTTGTCTTTTTGGTTTGGCTCTCGCTCGCTTAATCTCGACAAAACTTTGACTCTTTCTCCTTCATTGTATAATCCAAACTTACCATGGATTTGCCTTGTCCTTGGTGATTTTTTATGTAGAATCTTACTATGATTTCAGTTATTGTATATTGATAAAACTTATATCGTAGTTGGATCAACCTATATGATAGGAATTGCTGCTCCTTTGTTTGATGGACACTCGGCCGGACAGGTAATATGAGATGCTGTCATGAATAGAAAGTCAGACCTGCAAAGAACTTCATCTAGCTGCTATCTATCAAAATATTTAAAGACTTCTATGGATATATTTAGGTCTAATCTTTCTATCCTCTCTGTACCTGTCATTTATTCTGCTATCGGCAAGTCTTTGTGATCTAAAATGCCCTTTATACACAAATACCTATTAAAGCTATGTCACTCCTTTCAAACGACACTGAATCAAAACATCAAAAATACCTTCGTCGAGCGTTCATCCGAGTGATAGAATTTTCCTCGAGATAGATTAACCGCAAGTAAAAAGTCCACCCAGACACAACTTTAACTTAATACCAAACACAACCTCGAAAACCATTATTAGTCCATCACACAAAATGTCACATCAAGCACACACCCAAGAATTCAAGATGAATTTCAATCAATATCTCGAAAACCTAGGTGCAGACCTAGCAACTTAGGGTGCTACAATGAATGGATCACTCAACAACAAATCTTCCGTTGCTTCAATGCACCAAATACTCTCCACCGAAAGATCTTTTTCTCCCTAGAAGAAGATATCTACTCCATCGTAACAGCGTAATTTCGCAAAATATAAAGTCAAGCTCGTCAGGTAAGACTTTCTATTATTATCTCAATATTCAAGTTGGAATAAAAATTAAAGCAATATAAGTACTGATTTTTGGTTGTTTTGGTGAGTAATATGAGAACCTTCTCGACTTAGTGCATTCAATGCGTTTATGGTTCGAAAACATCTGGGGAAAATGCCAAGATTATCAGCAGGCGTTTAAAGATGGTGATGCAGAGATAATTAGATCCATTGAGGAATTTAGGGCCAGGGAGCCTTTACAATTTTAGGTTGTGGAGGTCATTGACTCAGACTTCATCTAATCATCAACATATTGATATAAAAGATGATAGATATTGGCGAGTTACAAATGGGGGCTGTATCAGGGTTGTGGCTTGGTATGAGATGTCGGGGTGGATGCTGAATATATTCATCTTGAATGAATATCATTGTAGAGCTGGCTGGATTATGGTGGACTGATATTTACCAATTCTTTCATAGCTACTTTACAAAAATCAACTCTCCAGCAACGAATTAATTGTAAGCTCTTATATGTGATGTGAATAAAATATGTGGTTAGATATCTTAGTACCTATCAATAAATTTCCTAATATCATCTTCACACCTGTTTCTTTAAGATAATTTTATCTGTACTCGTATTCAAAAGGAACATCGATACTCGGTATAACTAAGCTATATGACTTGAGGAGAATAATTCTTGGATCATTTCTGCTTGGATAATCGCAAGTCCCATCTCTCACGAACCAGATAAAACCAATTCCACCCCTATTCCATCCCTTCCTCTCCCGCTCTTCCACTTTCCTCTTTCTCCACCGCGCCCCTAAAACCTAAATATCCCAAAACCTCAATCAAGCACCTCATCCAACAACCCATTAACCACAAAAAACACACACACACAGCCCCCTCCCCCGTCTTTTCTCCCTCATATACATAATATATCATCAAGTCTAACAAACAAAACCCAAAGCAATAAAAAAGAGTGAGAATAAGGAAACTCTCAAGCTTCTTCTTCATCGTGAACAAACAGGCACTAAATATCAATCAAAATTAACCTTATACGAATCTGTCCACACGTGTCATAAAAAGTCAAAAAAACCGAAATTGGGTATTTGATATTGGTAATGTAAAGAATTAGCTGCTGAACTATGGATCCATGAGTATTCCATTCATCCATCCATCCATCCACCCATGCATCCATCAAATCAATCACCGGAAACAGCAGATCCTAGATCCCAAATCTCAGAACTTTAATGCTCATTCATATCTCCGTTGAATCATACAATAAGCTCAAATCAAATCAGGTCAAATCAAGTTCTTAAAAATGCTCATGTCCATACCCACTCCCTATTGACTTCAAATCAATTCCTTTATCCCCTCCACTCCGACCCATTACCCACACCAGAACTACTTCCCCCTGGTTTCGGCAATGTTCCATCATCTTCACTCTCCTCACCATCCTCATCTAAAATCCTAGCCAACTCATCCGGATCCTTCATTTTCGCATCACCATCCACATCAGCCGCATCAACCACACCACTTTCCTGTCCTTCAAACGAAGCATGTCTCTGACTTTCACCTCCAAGTACACCTTCATCCGCACTAACCGAAATACCCCTTGCTCCCCATTTACTCGTATTGCGCCCTGTATCTTGTCTACCACCCAATGCCGGAGTTGCTTCCTCGTCTCCTTCATCTTCTTCTGTTCCTGCCATGTGTTTGTTTCCCAACACGCGGTTTAATAACCAACCTCTACTAATATCATCTGCATCTACTACTCCTCCATTCCTTAGCTTGACGCGTTGTCGAGAATAGTATACCCATGCGAAATCGATGTAAAAGGCAGTTTGGATTACTCCACCGATAATTGATATCGCATCTGGGGAACGATCATTTATATCCAGGGAACGCCAGATCCAATTTAAAATATAAAAGAATCGATAGGAACCGAGTGTTACGAGGTAATAGGAATCGAGAACTGTAGGAACGGTAGTTTGTCGAAGGAGGAGAAGTTGTGGGAGGATACATGTTGATTCGAGGAGAATGGAGAAAACCCATAGAACCTAGTATCATATTAGTATCGCAAATGCACGTCACATTCAGTTTCTCAGAAAATATACCAACCTCCATAAAACCCCAAGCATATTTCCTCTCAAATATCATCATCAGAATCGGCGACAAAACCGCACTTCCAACAAAACAAAGACCTCCCAATTTCCACGCCTTTTCACGTTCTCTAGTGCGTGCATAAACTCTCAACATTAAAAAGAGGATATAGAGACTCGAGCCGATATAAAAGATTTTGAGTGTGAAATTCCAAAGAATGAAATAACCTGAGAAGAGATCGAGATAGCGAGTTATGAAGACCATGGCATAGAGGGATTGAGTGATGAGGGAAACACCTCGACGGGTATTAGCTTGATAAATGGTTTAGAGACTGATGGGAGGTAATACCTTCAGCAGATGAGTTTCGGTGGATTGCGTATATGAGGATACATTTTGAGAGAGTGTGGGAGATATCTCCCAGTATGCGGAAGAACTGGAGGTGTTAGGAGCGGTAGATGTAGAGGTAGGGAAGGAGAGAGCTTTCAATGCGCTCAGAGAATGGCATACATTGAATCCGACCATCTTATATGTTTGTAGAAGTTAAGCACAATCCAAATATTGTAGATGATTGTTGTGAGGTAAGGATGGATGGATCCGTGGTTGGTGAGCTGTGAGAGCTGTGAAAGCTATGGTATCCAGCAGATTACGCGTCGCCAGCGTTATGCGACAATATCATGCATTGCATTCAGTTTCTTTAAACTATTGTGTGGAATTCCTCGAAGATCTCGACGTTAGATACTTTATAAACTCTGGAAAAGGACCATGGAATCAAATAAATCAGGACAGTTTGGTTGTAATGAATGAACAACAGGGCAACGTTGTACATATACATATGTAACAAGCTGTTCCTTCAGCTTCAGCCGTTCGGTTGTGGCTGTGCTGATGAATGAAACTGTGGCTGAAGCTTGTGATTTGGTAGCTGTGGTGTTGATCTTGTCGAAGGACACCAGCGGACGGCCATATTGAGGGATGCATGTAAATCTGACCATTCGCATCCCCTTTTCAGATTAGAAGCATTGATGGAGTAACTTTAGTATACTGATTTGAGCAAAGATCGCAAATCATCACATCAATCCAATCATGGAACTCGAGGTAGAGAATATTTATTGACAGTTCGAATCTAGAGCTTGGTGTAAATGCTGAATCTAAGACCACCCACAACCCATCTATAAGGATACGATGAAATAGCTATATACAAATTTATCTGAGTTCTATCTCCCAGGATGCTCTCAATACAGATAATCCTCCACCCTGGGTCTCTACAGTTCTTCCTCTACCTCGGTCGTTGGGATCTTCCGTCTCAATACGACCTTGACCTCCATCCTCTCCATATCTAGGAATCTTGCTCGCTTTCGCTCCTTTCATGTATTTTTCACCTCTCCATTCTCTATTGTTTGGAACTCCCAGGTTTCGGTAGTCTACAGAGTCTTCCGATGACAGGCTCGGTGTATCGTTGTTAAGGGAACTATTCGCAGCCGGTGCACCCCACCACATTCCAAATCTCCCTTCTTCATCCTTGGTTTTCAAAGCAGCCTCAGCATTTCGTCTGATCCAACCTGCATATTTCGAGCACTTGCCAGAATGCCACTCTCTATCGAATTCCAAACTCTCTTCGGTGCCTGCATTAGGCCTTGTCGGTAAATCACTACAGAATGCGGTCAAATGATGAAAGAATATGCCCTTGAACGTTTGCCCATCTTGAGAGCAGGAACCATCTGAATCGCAAGCCTCTTCTAGTATCCCATTTCTACCTAAACCAAACCATTTCGCCAAAGTGGAACCATTTTGGGGTGGTGGTGAAACGACAATGTCATGCTTCAAATCGTAACCTGTAGCATTAATAACATCATATATGAGCTTGTGGCCATCTTCAAGGTATGATCGCGCAGCAGTTGCATCATAGAGACCACGTTGACCAGTAAGCAAGACCCCTTGATTATATGTATATACCATCTCATTTCGAGAATCGCAGCGGGTATTGTTACTACTAGAAAGATTCGAGATATGGTATCCATCGACATATAATCCTTGCAAATCAGTCATGTTTGAGCTGTTCAACCATTTGTAAGCATCAACAGCTGCTTGAAGATATTTTGGATCCCGAGGTGGATAGGTAGGGTTTGAATATAGAAACGGAGATTGGTTAGAGTCTCCAGGAAAATATAGGTACATCGATATCGAAGCTGCGATATAGAGTTCATTGGTGATGGCATTCTTGTATGGGAGAAGATATGGAGACCATATCATTCCACCACCACAGAGAGTAGTATCCCATCCTTGGGATGCTAATTCCCAAAATAGTCGAGCACGATGTGCGAATGCAGGTTTGTATTGTTTTCCGTACCATTCTGGTTGAGAGAGGTTGGAGTAATGTAATTCCGAGTGTAGGTCAATGAATTTCACCGTATCCAACCAGCCGAGAACCACCCATAGCATATCATCATAAGCTTGTTGTCGTAAAGAAAAGGCATCTTGACCAAAATAAAAGCCAATTAATTCAGCAAAGTATTTGTTGATGATGTTCTCGTTCGTCTTCGGCGAGGAGAGGTCAGAGAAGGACTTTGAGAGAGTAGTAAGGGCACCAGCGACATATGTGCCTATTTAAAAATTGGTGTTAGTTACTGCTCTGGCTTAATTTAGACATTGATAGAAATGAGAATACCAATCACTGCTGACGTCCAGTCAATTCCTGTTGGATAAATGCCTTGCCAAGTTGCAAAGTAATCTTCTTGTAGCACGTCCAGGGCGCTCACCATTGCAGGTAGGGTGTTTGAAGCTTCATGGCTGATGGGATTTTGAGAGTGCTCGTTCGTTGCAATATCTTCATTATTCGTAAGTGGTCGTTGGATCAGATTATCATACTGTCGCACAACATCATTTGAACTCGCAGATACGCCAATTGAGAAAAATAACCCGCAGAGGATGCACAGCAGTAGGAATGACATGCGCAATCGTGAATTGGTGACAACTGAAAAGGAAATCATGGCTGAGGCTCCTCCTCCGATCGAAGGGCAACAGTTGGCATGGAATGGAATGAGATGAGGTGGGATTGAAAGGAAATGAAGGCAATGAGAAAGGATCTCTCTGTCTTTCTTGATCAAGGAGGAAATGGAGACATTTATATTCGATAGGGAAAATAAGGAAAAAGAAGAAACCCACAATGAAGTTGTCCACGAGGTCTTACAGAGGGAAGAAACAAAATAATCTGTCGATGGATTCAGAAATGGTTTTGATCTGTTTGATCTGGATTTAGAGGATTTGAGGGGAAGACCTCGTGTCCCTGGTCTTAGAATATGGACCAAGACAGTTTCATACCTTCTCAAGAGTAGCACCAGGTAACTCTAGGTTAGTTCTTTCCAAATTGCGGAGGCGCGGGGTCTAACCTTACATCATGTGCCATCGGAGAATTTTTACCTTTTCTCAGCACGATGCACGATCTTATCACGATCTCATCACATCTAGCTTCCTTTGCATGGGAATAGTATCATTTTCCTAAATTTGCGATAATGGTATTATTCATTTGTCTTTGATGACTTGCTTTTCTTCTCCGTAAAGTTACCCCATGAAAAGGATTAATGTTCACAGGATCTTACGTATGACCGAAAGAAGATGGAGGAGTGTCTCTGCAGGCACAAGTAGCCGTGGTAGATGAACAGGGGGGATAATACGATGTGTGGCTGGTATTGCTACTGTCTATATTGAGGTCTCTGTCGACACTTACTTACGTATACTTAGTGGTATAATTCATCATTTTCTATCGAATAATCATGCCCTTTTACCGACGTCGCCGCAGCTGAGTGCTAGACTTCAAGACTCTGTTTCCCATTTCGGATGAATAGGAATTGAGGGCTATCATAGGGACGTCTTCTGAGACTGAATGGCATCACGATCAAAGCACTTTCGGCCGTAATAGTTTGGACAAGGCCAGAGATCACGGCTTCTCCCTTGCAAATCAGAGAAGACCACAAGCTCCGAGAACATCAGCAACAACAAGAAGCATTCAGCTGAGGCTCCAATCGATCGCAGGGGAGAACGATTAGGACACATGATCCACGACCTGCGAAACGAAGTTTACTGCATCAACCACCAAGAATATCTTGCTGGCAACGCATGAGCACAGTTCGAGGCATTGATCCCAACTTACGCGGTTTTTGAAGACACAGCCTAGTGCAGATAACTTACGACCTCAAAATGACTACGAACGATGTTTAGATACATTCGTAGTCATTCGGCCGGTGTGATATGTTGTACGAATATTGCATTGACATGCCAAAAACATACGAAGCTCCCAAACTATCTATAATCAAAAACTTACTCTGCAAGTGAAGCAAATCATGCATTGAATACAAGTTGATGCTATCCAAAGGGCTTCTTCCGCTAGAGGATTAGTAGTCAAAGTAGGCCATGGGTCTAGATGTACAAGAGGGATGAAAGAGGCAACCAATGCACTGTTACTTCCTTCATCCCGCAGTTACCTACTCTAACTCGGTTCGCCCGGCTCCTTCATTACTTGTCATAGCTTGTTTGGTTATATCTTTAACTTTCTCTGTCGAACTACTCCTTGTTCATCCCATCATATATGCCTACTGCAATAGCATCCAGCGACCGATCTTCTTCCGAAGTTATCACAACGAGTGTTGGTGGCAAAAACGAGGAATTTTCAATCGCAGCTTTTTCCCTACACTCTTTTGACTTTGCGGATGTGTCATCATGTCACAACACTTGACTCGGCTTTAGACGATTTCAAGGAAAGCCACATGCGCCATTGTATTTACGTCTGCAGCTTTGATGTAGAGGTTGCAGGCTTAAAGATACTTGTCTCTGAGCTTCTGGGATATTCTACCAACAAGAGAACCCGTTCATCTACAAATGATAATTTGGTGATAACGAAGGGAAAAACATAAATCTCTCAATACCTCTTCTCCATGTGTGTGTTTCGTTTGCTCCATACTGACTCACAATACCATACCATACGTCACCTCAGTTCCTCTTATCTTTCATCTCACTCATGTACCCAGTTTCAATCTCCAAGCATAAAGCAGCGAGCCTCAAGAACAATCATCATTCTGTGGTGACGTTTTCGGGCAACTTCTCGTCACAAACGATATCAAATGTAGCCTTACTGTAGACATGGAACCGCTACGAATCCTTAGTTTGATTTTCCGGATAAACCGTTCTGCAGTTCTTCCAGTCTCTCTGTATGAAAACCTTGAGGAATGTCTTGACCATCAAGGCAGCCGCTGCTTGACCTGGACAACGGCGGGGTCCTTTTCCAAAAGGCATGAACCAAGATGACCCGAGAAGCTTGTCGCCGTACTTTAAGAACCGACTAGGTTCGAAGACAGTCAAGGGTGCCATGTCACCTGCTATTACGCGCCAGCTCTCCTTGTGTTGATGCAGCGCGTGGATGCTCGACACAATGCGCGTGCCGGCTTTGATCTTGTATGTCTGGCCTTGGTAATACAGTTCGAAATCTTTCATGGCTGCGTTATTGATGAGTGGCCCGGGCGGCTCGAAACGCAGAGACTCCCACATGAAGCTGTCCAGGATTGGAGCTTGCATGAGCTTCACACCCATGTTCCCCTCTTGCTCTTACAGCTTGTTGAGCTCCTCCAGAATGGCTTCGCGCCAATATGCGTTGTCAGGATCTAACAAGTGATAGAGGCATCCCATAATGGTAGATTTGACGGCGTCCAGCTCAGCGAACGTTGCTGTAATCGATTCATCTAGAGTATACACTACGGGCATGCCCTGGCTCATTCATTTCTTGCAGAAGAGCGGCGACAGTACCGTCTTCGGGATTGTTTATCATGTCCGTACAAACTGCACGCAGGACATTGATGTTGCGGCCAAGACGTCTAGCTTCCTTAGTCAAGGGCAGGCCGGCTAGGTGGAAGCAAACGCGATTCCAAAAGCGGCTCGAATAGAAGCGAAGTTCAGTAAATTTCTAGTTCAAAACAACCATGAAAGGCAAGGTCCTTGTCTGTCCATCGATCTCTTCGACTTTTAGATAGCGATCAATATTGTCGTTTCCCCAGACGTACTCCCCGCTCGTGCAACGCGTCTAGTGCTCGAGGAGTGTTCGAACGTCCATCTGCACACTGGAGCCACTCTTGGCTTTGGATTTGTCGAGAGCGACATTTGCCCTACTTTGTGCCATCTCCAAAAACATCGGCATGCTGATCATTGGGCGTGCTGTTCAAGGACTCGGAGGCGGTAGCCTGACCATCCTCGTGAAAATCGTTATTGGTGACATTTTCCCTCTAAACATTCGTAGCGTTTTCTACGGTGTGATTGGTGGTGTATGGGCTGTAGCCGCAGCAGCGGGCCCGGCAATTGGTGGTGCGTTGACTGAGAAGGTTTCATGGCGATGGTATATTCACAATTTAACCATATGGGAAACCCTAGGCTAAACATGCAAGGTACTTTACATCAACCTCCCCATCGACGGACTTGCCTTTCTGATCATTCTCTTCTTCCTCGATCTTAAGAGTCCGCGTACGCCGCTACTTGAAGGACTCAAAGCTATTGACTGGGTGGGCTCGATTTTGGTTATCGGAGGCACGCTCATGTTTCTTTTCGGTCTTGAAAATGGCGGCGTTGCAGCAACCTCGGGCTCTGCCAAGGTTATCTCCTTGCTCGTCTTCGGCCTGCTCACTTGGGTACTTTTCATTTTTGGGAGGTGCATTACGCCGAATTCCCCGTCATGCCTATGAACTTACTCAGAAATGTTACTAACGCCGCCACACTTTTCTGCGTTTTCATTCAAGGTGTTGTTTCCATCTCCACCTCATACTATCTCCATCTCTACTTCTAGTCCATACGTGGATATATCCCTATTCAATCAGGTCTCTATGTACTCCCTACCGCCCTATCGCTTGCGGCTGGTAGTCTCTCTACCGGTTCGGTGGTCGCAAAGACCGGTTGGTATATGCCACCGATCTGCTTCCGCCTATTCATGATGACCCTTGGCTTCGGTTTCTTCATCGACTTTGACGCCTACAGCAGTTGGGCAAAACTCTTTCTGTTCCAAATCGTAGCTGGTCTAGGCGTCGGCCCCCTCTTCCAAGCTCCTATAATCAGTCTCCACGCGCACACCGAACCCCATGACATCGCGACCGCTACTTCAACCCTCGGGTTTATCCGCCAGCTCGCGCAAGCCATCTCCGTAGTAATAGGCCAAGCCGTCTATCAAAATGAAAAAGCCAAAAAATACCCCTCTCTCGTCGCCTCGGGTATCTCTCCCTCTCTGGCAAAACTCATCTCCTCCGGTGATGCCGGTGCCGATATCCAAATCATTAATATCCCTCCCCCAGACCAACGCACCGCCGTCCGTGTCGCGCTCGCGGATTCCCTCAAGCCAATGTGGCTTATGTACACGTGTATCACTGCCGCCGGGCTACTCGCCTCATTCCTCATTAGACGGAAGGTTTTGACTCATGCGCTTGTGGAAACTAGGACAGGTTTAGAAGCTGAACGTGAAAATGCTGAAGCTCGACTTTGGGAGCGAGAAATGAGAAAGAGGAAGTCTTGAGTTATCTGAGCGCTAGAAACTACAATTACTCGTATCTGCCCTTTGTATTAGACATTTAAATAAAAAGAATCACATTTTTATCTATAGAAGGAAATCTTCCGACAACTTTTAACAACATCATTTGTGATTGTCATTATATGGTAATCATACACTCAAGGTATCTGTCATTGAAATAAATTTCTAGAACCGCTCACACCAAATAGAAATACATAAAAAGGAAGTATACAACCGACACAATGTTGAAGGGTATTAAAGGAACCTCCCCATCCGCACCTAACACCGATTCCGCTAAATTTTCATACAAATCATCGAAAGAAAAAAGTTCGAGTTCGAGTTTGAGTTAATGTCAACTGGCTTTCTGAACTCATCACAAGCCTTGAACTTCATGACCTAATTGCACGTGTCAACGATATTCTAGAACGTGATAAAGATAACTACTTACGACCAAGTGGCTTAGCCCTCTTATAAATATTATTCGCCTGTCCCTGTCGAACCTTCAAGGCTTTTGCCCTACACAAAACAGTTAGCATCTTTCTTCCTCAAAAGCAGTATGTCAAACATCAAACATCAGACAGATAAATAAAAAACAATAAAAAACATACTGTGCCTCCATCTCCAACTTAAGCTGTCTCATATGTTCTCTCGCCTCTCTAACCGCCTCCCTAGCATTAATCAAGGCCCTATCAGCCTCTCTCTCCATCTGTTCCGCATTAATAATTCTCTGTTCAGCAGCCGCAATAACCGGATCTTGAGCTTGCTGATTTTTATGCAGGAATCCTCGATGACGGGTAGTATTGTTTTGAGATGCGGATGAGGAGACGGTAGCGGTGCTGCGTTCGGAGGGGGATATGGATTCTGGACGGTTGCGGTGGAAGATGGAGGAGCTGCGCTTGGGTGGTTCTTCTACTACTGGTTCTGGCTCGTGTTCCTCTTGGTGACGACCGAAAAGAGGCATGTTTATGGTTTATTTGGATGTGTTTTAATTTTTGATGAGTGGTTCAGGGATAGAAATGATTTTTTGGAGTAATTAAGTAAGATCTTACAACTTGGCGAAAGCTTATGGAGTTATGTATGTTTTTGTTTTTTGATAATTATCAAAAAGATTCCCAAAACTGCGAGCTGCCTCGTTATACTTATCTCCTTTCTTCTACTCAAGTATTCATGCCCTTTTCCAATCATCATCTGTGTTGTCGCTTCATGCCAAGTTTTCCCTCCGCAAAACAGGGGGTGTGTCAATGACGTCAATTACGCGACGTCAGTGATCAGCCTTTTTCCAGTATTTGGATACAACCAATGATAGATAAATCAATCAATTGATAGAGTTTAGAGGCTTGCAGTTACAAAATGATATGATATGAGATGATAGATCTACAAAATGTTGCCGGTGAATGATTGGTCCTGTGGGAAGCAATCGATGGCGATATTAGGAGCTAGTTATGGATGGCTACACCAAATTCTTGCGAGGTAGTTCAAACTTTAAGAGATATCCATGCTGTTGGTAAAAACTTTTTGGTACCCTCTGAAATATTTAAGACTTTCGTTGCAGTCGAGAACCCTACTTCGTAGCCGGAACAAGGTCACTCTTTACTCCGAGTAGCCAAATCCTCTGATTCTAAACCAGGAGCTCCCGATGAGATATTGTGAGAAAGTTAGAATTCTAGATCACATACATAAAGTTTTTTAACTAATCAATTACATAACCTCTTATAATCAAATATAAAAAAAAAACTTTTGTTTTTTCTTTCTACAAAAATCAGTCTTATATATATATATTTGAATCTATATAACCTCAACCTCAAAACTATTATAAATCTTGTTTTCTTTATAAATGATATATTACAATATAATCCAATCAGCTTTCTTTTGCAATTCCCCTTCACAACATATTATCGGGATATACATATCTCGACCTACCACTTTTACAATATGTTTTAAGTTAAAATTAATATCGATATAGTAAAGACATTAGTCTTTGACCCATCATTGTGACTCGAGTCTAATGCTTTGGGAAGGTAAAATATCAATACGCGCAACCAAATTTTCAGTGATAATCCATGAAAGGACAAACTGAAACGTTGACTTTGATGTCCGAAGAAGCCACTGCAAAATCATCATAGGGGCTGTGTAAAATGGACGATATCATAATTTTGATAACTGATGACTATTAGTTGAAGTTCGTTGCATTAACTTTTTTTTCTTTTCATGCCTTGAGCAGAGACTGATTGACCGCCGCAATCCTATTTAATATATCATAAGGTACTTCATTCTCCATAGGCGATCATTCATCCATGACCAAAACACTTCTGAACCTAACATCTCCATTCAGCATATGATCATATGCTTTCTGAGCGTCCTTCAAGGGGAACTTCTCAATCATGCAGTCAACATTATGCAACTTCGTAAACTCAATGGCCTCTTCGGAGTCCAAGGCATGACCAGCTGGGAAACCACAGACTGACGCCGCCTTCATGATGAGTTCCACCGTATTGATCTCCACGTCACCACAGGGAGCCAAGATGAGCAATTTTCCACCTGGTCCTAATCCAGCGGTCAAAGGAGAAATAGACTTTGGATTTGGAGCCGTGCAAACAATCAATGCTGCTCCTCCCAATTCCGCCAACTTCTTAGCAGGATCCTCCTTAGATGCATCAACATACTCATGGGCACCCAACTTATGAGCAAACTCTCTCTTTTTGTCACCACCACTAATAGCCACAACCTTAAATCCCATCTTGGCCGCGTACTGCACGGCCAAATGTCCTAAACCACCTAATCCCTGAATAGCAACTACTTCACCAGGTGTAATATGTAGCTTTCTCATGCTGTTAAAAACAGTGATTCCAGCACACAAGATTGGAGCGTATTTAAAAGGATCGACATCTTCAGGAACTCGGACGGCGGCTTCAGTTCTTAAATGGACATATTCGGCAAATCCTCCATTGCGAGTAACGCCATTAATAGCAGCATTGGAACACATTTGACTATGAAACGAAAGTGTCAGTACATGTTCACCAAAGAAGAATCATGGAAAACACCAAAAACCAGAAACAAAAATGCACATACAAATTACCGCGATTACATTGCTTGCAAGTCCCATCATGACCACCATGCCAAGGACCACCAACTCTCGCACCAACCTTCCATTTCTCAGCACCAGGGCCAACAGCAGCCACCGTACCGATAATTTCGTGACCGGGAACAATTGGAAACCCGTTTCCGAAGCTTCCAGCTTGAACGACGGCGTCTGAGTGACATACTCCGCAGGCAATTACTTTTACGAGAATTTCATTTGCTTTAGGTTCTTGGAGCTCGAGGTCTTTAATAACGAGGGGCCCACCGGCTTTTTCGAAAACGGCGGCTTTGAAGGTTTTGGGGAGTGTCATGTTGACTGAGGAGATAAGTGATTGGGCTTTGTTTTTGAGGTTTTCAGGAAGTGTTTTGAGGGTATTCATTCGTCAGATGAGAATGTTTTGTGTGGAAGTGGAAGGGAGGTACTTATGTTATCTATTTATATTAGAGGGGAGGGAAGGATGATGTGTCTAATTCTAGGAATGCAGGTGTGCATTGGTAAAGATAAAGGAAAGAGCTACCCCGCTGTAAAGCTCGTTGACACACGGAATAGGGGACAGTCCGTCCGCAGTGCAGGGTTGAAAATATGTGAATAGTTTAGATCTAGGTACTAATCATAAAATCGAACATTGGTAAGTCGTCGGTGATAAGAGGTCTTTCCTGAAACTCAACGGTAGGTATTCATTCCGTACTTCCCTACTCGGTACTGTAGTCCAGGTTGCAGGAACAATCGTAAGTTTGCATGAATCGTGGGGCGGGGCTGACTTGGATCTTTCTCTTGAAGTTAAAATAAGACTTACGACGTGGCCATCAATATTTGTCCGTTGCGGGATGTAACACAATGTTTTCATTCCGAAATAGAGTACTCCATTAATTTGTTACGGGACATTAGGACAATATTTTCATTCCGAAATGGGCTGGCCCATTGGCCAATGCTCTAGCTCATTCGCCAATAAGTCCCCTAGGGATGCGATCTAGATCACGTGAAGTGGCCTGGATCCTCGAATGGTTTATAACTAGGCATCAAGCAGGAGTTTAAGATAATATCAATAATTGCAATTCGTAACTAATAGTAAAGTATACTGTCGGTACATCATGTGATCAACCTCGAAATGGAGGCCGTACATAAAGGGAGCCGTACGACTAGTGCATTCTAGCCCGTACCCCTTTCAATATAAATAGGTCCCTCTCCCCTAGATAGATAATAATCATCCATGAACAAATACAACAAGAATACTATACACTGCAATAAGTATCACCGAAGTGATACCAACATATACTAAATGATTGATCTTGAATATAAAACTTTACAAAAGGAATTCTTTCCTAATTATATAAACCTTCGTATCAATTAGATCCTTTGGATTTAATAGATCTAGAATCCAATTCCCTAGCTCCTTTAGATCCTTAAGATCCATCATATAATTAGAATCAGATTATATATCCGAACTTGTTAAGAATAGGGAGATCCCGAGAATCAATTGTCATACAATTTTGTGTACAAATCGCTTTGCTTTTCAATAAGATCCAACCTCATATAGATAGGTTGACTATTACCTTTATAACACCGGTCACTCTTTTATAACAAAAACCACGATTTTCACTTATTAATAACTTTATAATAAATAAACAAAATCGATTGAAATTTCAATCTTCAATAATTTAGATAAATATAAATAGATCCTGAGAATTTCAGATTTTCTACAATTTTATTGATTGAGATATAGAAAATTGAAATAATGATTTTATTTTATATAGAATTTATATACAAATTTAAAATCTAGAAAATATTAAATAATATTTCAAAAAAACTTATTAAAAATAAAAGATATATTTTTTGAAAATATTTAAATATATTTTAATCTAAAATTGATTATTATAACAAAAAATAATTTGTAATTAATGATTTTAATTAAATAATTAATTACAAATTATTTTTTTTATTATAATATATTTTTGAATAATAGTTATTTAAATATTTAAAAAAAAGATTTATATTTTATTTTTATTAATTTTATTAAAAGTTATTCAAGATTTTAAATTTATATATAATTTATATATAAATAATAAATCTATATTAAAGATTTTAAGAAATTATATTTATAAATAAGAAAGTTATTATAAAAGTATTACAAGGTAACAGTCAACCTATCCACATGAATTTAGGCCTTATCAAAAAACAAGATGATTTGTATACAAATTTATATAGTAATTATTTTATATAATCTCCTTGCTTTCAATAAATTCGGATATATAATCTGATTCTAAAGATCATATGATGAATTTTATATATACAAAAATACGAATCATAGATCTATACGAATCGAAGATCTATACGAATTATAGATCTATATAAATCGAAGATCTATATAAATCGTAGATTTATACAAATCGTAGATCTATACGAATTATAGATCTATACGAATTTATAGAATACAAAGATTTATATAAATCAAAGGGGTTTCATATATATAAAAACTTTGTATTTAAGATTAATCATTTAATATAATCTATTATTAATTATAAATTGCAATTATTGATATTATTTTAAAGTTTTTGTTTAATATCTAATTATAAACTATTCGAAGATTCAAATCATTTCTATATAATCTAGATCGTACCCTTTGTAACATTTTGAATATCATTATTGTTTTAAATATCAATTCGATAAAGTAATATTATATCTTTTTAAATCTTTCAATCTAACAATTCAATTTCAATTATTTTAAGAAATATAAATCAAAATAAAGATATCGTTATAAAAAGAATAAAGGATTTTAAAAAGATTATTATTATCGAAACTCTCAAAATCGTTTTATTTGATAAGTTTATAGATTATCGATAAGAATTGGAAATCTTTTTATTTTAGTTTGAGATCTATTTTGAATTTAATAAAGATAAGTTCTATTACAATATCAATAAAAACATTTAAATGATCTTTTATTTCAAAAGAGAAGTCTTCAAATAGATTTAATCTTATTTTAAAGATTACTTTATTTATTTGAATGATCTCAAAAAACAAATATATTTAATACAAATCATCTTTGAAATATTCATAAAATTCAAAAAGGAAATACAACAAATATTCGGAAATATTAACGAATTATACAATATTGAATCCAAGATTTATAATCTTAAGCAAACAAAATCAATAATAAAATATATTATAGAATTCAAATAATATATAAATATTATAGAATAAAAAGAGAATACTATAATAAATTATTATAGAAAAGGATTCAAAACAAAGATTAGATTAGAATTGAATTGTAATTATATTTGAAAAGATCTGAATAAATTAATCAAGAAATTAATCAAGACAAATAAAATGTTTTACAAATATTAAAAAAAGTATTGATCCTTCAATTTCTATAAGAATCGAGATTATAATAAGTATTATAAGAATAAAGAAAGATCTCGAAATTATCAATAATCATATAGAAATCCAATATAATTGGATATAATCTTTAGAAATAAATTATCTAAAAAAAAGATAAATTGAAAACGAAAGAATAAATTATATTTTGGATATAACAAATTAAATTATCAATCCAAGAATTATCAAAACAAGAAACTACAAGACCAAAAAGGTTATTACAAGAAAATTAGATTCGGAAAATATCAATTCAATATTATCTTTGTATTATTATTATCTATTCTCAATATAATCGAAAATGATAATTACAAATAAGAACAATACCAAAAGGAAATCGATATAATATCTCGAGATCAGGAAAGCTTGAATGAAATAGATCGATATAAATTGAAATATTTCTAAACTTTATTACCTTTTTTGATCAAAGAAAACCCAAAAGAAATATTATTGATGGAATATACAATAATAAACTAAATAACTTATTATAATGATTTCTATAAAATTCATTTATTAGATAAAAAAACTATAGGATGATTTCTTTATAGAAAAAGAAGAAGAAATACTTTATTATATAATCAGCAAAATAATTAATTATATGAAATTAACTAAATCGATCAAATCGATCAAATTGATCAAATTGATTAAATCGATCAAATTGATCAAATTGATTAAAACAAGACTACAAATCAAAAACAACTAAATATTACAAATCAAATAAGATAGATTTATTGTAATATTAAGATAAATGAACAAAAAATCTAAGTTATAATCGATTCAAAAATTATAAGAAATTTTATTATATTAGGAATTATAAAATATTTGAAAATATAATTCTAAACGAAACAGACTTTATATTAATTGCAATTAATTGATAAACAATTAACAAAATTGGATAATAAGATTTCATAAAAGACTTATTTAATACAAATAAATATAACCCAATATAAAAAGATCATTCAATTCGATATTATTCTATTAAGAAATCAATAAATCATTTTGAGAATATTATAATTAAAAGTATATAACTTCAAAATCGATTGAGCTACTGAAACTATAAGTTTCCCAAACAAAAACAATTATTATAATATATTAAAATTTATAAAGCTAAATATATATAATAAAGAATTGAAGATAAACAATACTATCAATATAAAATATCCAATCTAAAATCCTTTATTAATAACAAAAAAAAATAAATCTTTTATATAAATAAAAAATAAATAAAAGAAATTGTTTAATATCATTTCTATATAAAAACAAAAAGGAATATTAATATTAATACAATACTAGAAATACAAAAAGTTATTCAAAGAAAGAAAAAATTATAAGATTTTACCAAAATACAAATTATAGAATTATAAGATAGTATTGGAAAAAGACAAAATATCTTTATTCGGATCAATCTATCAGATATCGAAATTGGAATTAAGAATGTTTAAAGAATATATCAATAATATATTAAAAAAGAATTGAATCAAAAAATCAATCTTATAAACAATTAACTTTATATTATATTGTAAGAAAGTTAGAATTATAAACCAAATACATAAAGGTTTTAACTAATCAATCATATAACCTTCTATAGTTAAATATAAAAGAAAAATCTTTTATCTTTTTTTTTCACAATAATCAACTTTCTATATATATACATTTGAACCTATATAATATCAATCCCAAAACCATTATAAACCCCGTTTTACTCATAAATGATATATTACAATATAATCTAATTCAGTTTTCTCTTCCAATTCCCTCTTCACAACATACTATCAGGACGCACATATCTCGACCTACCACTTTTACAATATATATCTAAAAAAAATAATATTAAAAGATTATATATAGATTATTATAAGCTCAATAATATAACAATCAAAGATCGATATTTATTTTCATTAGTTATAAAACTAAAAGATCGATTAAGAAAAATAAAGATTTTCTTCAAATTTGATCTAAAAAACAGATTTCATTTAATCAAAATAAAGAAAAGTGAAGAATAGAAAATAATATTCAAAACTCGATATAGATTATATAAGTATCAAATTATATTATTTAAATTAATTAATATATCAATAATATATATATAATTAATCAATAATATATTAAAAAAGTATTTAGATATTTATTATATATATTATTTAAATAATATCTTTGTATTTTCTAAAACAAAAAAACAATATATATTGGATATATATAAAATACTAAAATATTTAAAAGAAATAGATCTTCAATACAAATTTAGCAAATATAAATTCTATATTATAGAAATGAAATTCCTGGATTATATAATCTTTTCAAAAAGTTTTAAAATGAGTTTTGATAAACTAAAAACAATTCAAAATTAAAAATCATTGAATAATATAAAGAAAATATAATCTTTTTTAGAATTCATTAACTTTTATTGATGATTTATCAAGAATTATTCTAAAATAATTATCTCAATATCAGAAATTATTAAAAAGAATCAAGAAAAGTTTTAATAGATTTTGTAAATACAAAAAGTATTCGA